TCTGTGCTTTGGGCATCCCGAAGCCCCAGGTCTATGGGACTCTTCCTCGCTATTGGCAGGCTGCTGTCCTGCCTTGCTGCTGGCTCATGGGCAGGGAAGGAAGTGGGCCGCAAGAGCCGTCTCCCCCAGGACAAGGGGCCGTTCTCTGCAGCGCAGTGGGATGCGTCACTGCCCAGGCATCCAGCAGATGCTCTCCTGCGGTGGGGGGAAGCATCCTGGGGAGAGGACAGCTCTGCACAGTCCTGCTGACGCCTTGAAGATGGCCCCTGCCCTTGTCATGCACAGACCAGCTGTGCTTCTTCCAACCCTTCTCTTCCACTTACGTCCTCACTCGTTCTGCGGGCTTTGCATGACGCCTTGTCTCCCTCAGTCTACCCAGGGACATCCTGCTTATTTTCTGATGTCCAGCTGCTAACTGTCTGCCAGAGACATTCAGAAGGAGAGAGAAATAAGTGGTAGAGGGGCGTACATGCATTTTTGGACTGCAGAAGTGGATCCCTGCCCTCACTGGCAATTAAATAAGGATATTTGGTTGGGCAGTGGGTGGTCCTGATAAGTATGTGGTAAACAAGGAATGGGCTACCTGATGAGGCATTTTGAGTTCATTGGTAAAGAGGTAGGAAGAATAGACCAGAAAAGGATTGAGAATAAACAGACAGAAAGGCAACCACAGGAATGTAGAGTCCTCCATGGATCAGAAAGGTTACAGCAAGACTCTAATCACCCTAACAGACCTGGTCCTCAACCCTCCAGAAAGGCTTCAGAATGATGGAGACACCAAGGCAAGGAAATGCTAGGGAGCAGGTGCTTATTTGGCTCCATATAGACTTTTTCCTAGCTAAGATTGAAAGTGTTGGCTCAGACACCTATCCAGCACACTGCTTCCATTCAGGATGGATAAGGAAACATTTGTTCCTTGTAGGGATGAAGGGCACATATGCCTATCCAGCTGCTCAGTGCATAGGGACAGTCACTAGCACCTTGTCCCATACCCAGGGTACAAATGATCCTCTGCCAGAGCACACCAACCATTGCACTGAGAGAAGTTTTTCTCTGGACCATGAAGACCTTGAGATGTGGAACCAGCAGTAGCCAGGGAAGACTTGGAGAGGAACTTCTTTGTATGCTAAGGAGAGGGAAGAAACCATTGTTGCTTCAAAAACCAGCAAGGAGCTCTGGGCACCCTCTGCAGTACACAGGACCTTTTCTTATTATATTGTCAGAGATAAGCTTCAGGTGGGGCCTGGTATCCATTCCTGGTATCCAACCTTTCTCTTGCTCGTAAGACATCTCTGGTGCAGACTGAGCTTTGGGATGCAAAGACCTTCTGCCTCATGAAGGGAGGCAGGGGGGTGGGATCAGCAAGTCTGTTTTCAGCATGGCACAAGGAACAAGCTGGCTCCAAGAAGTAAAACGACAGGGCCAAGAGGGGATAGGGCACTATTAGATCACACACACACACTCATGGGACTCCAGTGCCCTAAATCTTGTGATTGGGATTGAAAACTAGGTACTAGAGGGATTTCATTTTCTTTCCAGATTACAAATTCTTTCCAGCTCTGTGCCTGATTCACCATAGGCCCAGGATTAATTCCCTTCACCCCCACCCCTCTCCTCCCCATGCTGTGCTTTTGCCCAAATATGAAATGAGGCCAAAGAGCCTGACCTTCCAGATGGGGAAAGGGGCTTGGTAAATCTCTGGATATTTGGCACACACAAAAAAATCTGTCTCTTTACAATGAGTCCCAACAGTTTGGCAAACAAGTCCTGCCCTACTTTCAGCTGAGTGTTGGGGTGTTGCAAGCGGTTGGCTGGTACAGTAGTGTGAGTAACCACTTCTGCTCTTACCTGTGCTTGTTCTCCAGAAAGGAACAAGTTCTTGCAGAAGGCACACACTGAAGCCTCTTTGTTCCCTGGGGTTTTTCCATTCCTCACCCTTTGCAACTATCCCTGAGCTGTGTAATCTGAAGACACAATGCCTATGGGATGCAGAGGAACCCCTCTGAATAGGCCCTGCACCTCGCATTCTCCCATGGGATTGAGCAACATGAGGTTTCCCCCACAGGCATCCTAGGACAGGAGGTTCCCCTTTGCTAGGGCAGAGCCGGGTCCTAAGGTAAGGCTGTCCAGGAAATATGAGGGGTAATGTTCTCCTCCATCCCTAGGGTACCTGTCACTGATTAGTGACACTGCACTTTCCATCCTCACAGACTCTGTCCTGCTTAGGCGAAGTGACACTGGCAGGAGCCCTCTGTGCGATAGGGAAAAATTTCTGCTGGGGCTGTGCTGGAGAGGAAATCAAGGCACTGGGAGTGGAAGCGACTTCCTTATGGGCATCCATGAGACTTTGGAGTCTCAGCACCAGGCCAAGTGCTGTAACCGCGGCCTCCCTCTTACAAGGGAAAAAGCTCCCTCCCGGGAAAGCGGAAAGCCTGACATAGCCGCAACAAAGCCTTTGGCTCCTGCTCCCTTCACTGAGGCTCTCTGGCTGCCCCTGACACTGCTGGGGTTGCAGGCGGTGCAGTGAGGCAGCGTGCGTGTAAGAACCCTCTGACCCTCGCATGCACGAAGGCCCAGAGGGAGGCTCCAGAGAGGCAGCTCCAAAGCGCTCACATCATCCCCGATCCTGCAGCATCCTGGGCCCAGAGAAGGGCCGCTGAGGGACTGTTGTTACTTTAGCATGTGGTGTCTCTTGCTGTGGCGCAGCCAGCCTCTTTGCTCATGCGTCGCTGGCTCCCCAAGAGAAATCTACAGGGCTGGGAAAGGTCGCCTTGCCTGAAGTAGTTGCAGCTGCCCTTGGATGGGGCTCTCTGGGCAAGGGAAAGCTTGCATCAGGCAGCTGGATAGGTGGAGAGGAGAGCAGTCCCTTTCAGTCCCTTATGCCTCTTCATTCTCCTAAATTCTGCTTGAGCCAGAGCCAAGAGTAGGGCCTCAGCAGCGTTTTTGGAGGGAACAAGGGAAGGAAATGAAGCCAGACAGCCACCAAGAACAAAACAAAAGTTGGACACAGGAGGGAAGTGTAAGGGTACAGGCATGAGACATGGACCTTCCTGCCTGCACCCTCACGCTGGCTGGCTTGCAATAGTGAGCAGCCACTGGCCTGCAGGGCCCTGGCTGCTTGCCCCAAGCCAGCCCAGCATACAGAGCACAAACGGAAGGCACAGGCCATTCCAGTTACCAGTCTGCCCTGCAACCCCACGTGCAACAAGATCACAGCTCCTTCTTTGGGGTGCCTTGTGGGTTCCCAGTGCCCCATCGCTTCCTCTGTGCTTGGTGTTTTGGGCATCCCTTGCCCGCTCTCTCCTTGGCCACCTGCTCTGTGTGCTTTTTTCCTCGTGGGAGCAGGGTGGCAATTGCTGGGCCTGGGATGGAATGACAAGCAGACATATTTTGGACCTGACTGCCTGCTCAGTGGCTTTAACCAAGAGTTATAGTGAAACAAGACCCCACCCTGCCAGCCCACATTGCTGTGGGAGGCAGATGTTGTTCCTCCCTCCCTGGTGCTGTTACCCCAACAGATGGGGTCCCGGGCTGCAGGGCAGTATCGCTTACAGGGTGCGTGCCTCTGCTCGGGGCTGGGAGGAGGGTGCATTTAAATGGGCAGTTGGGAGATTTTTGTTGTCCCTCACTGTGCAGACATTCTTGCCACGGGGGCCGGAGGCAGCTCCGCACAGGAGGAGCTGAGCAGTAAAGGCTCCTCTTGGAGAAAACAGAGCGGTGTCTGGCGGAAGGAAGGATCCCAAGAACGGTAAGAGTCACCGGAGTTGCATCCACTCCCAGGAAGAGAGCAGCAATCCCTAGAGCTTCTCTCCTGAGCTGCCCCGAGCATGACGCTGTTCTGGGCCTGAGCCTGCCCCATGGGGTGCTGACTCTAGATCACTCCGCTTGGGCTCCAGCATCATCCCTTCTGGGGTCTGCAGAGCCCGAGGCAGGGAAGGGGGTTCCCGAGGCTGGGCGAGGGGACCTGTGTCACGGCGGCTGCCAGCACAACGGCGGGGGTGTCGGGGAGGGCCTCACTGAGGGGCCCGGCCCGGGCTCCGGGCTCCGGGCTCCGGGCAGCAGGCAGAGCGGTGCGGGCGGCCGCTCCGCGCTGCGTCCCGGCTAAGAGCGCGTCTCCTCC